TCTTCAGTGATCTCTTTGCTATTTAGTACATTTGGATCATCTTTACTATCATTACTCTGAATTCTTTTTCAGGTAGGTTGCCTATTTCACCTTCATTTATTTGATCTTGTAAGTTTTTACCTTGCTCCTTCATCTGTAACATATTTTTTTGTCATTTCATTTTTTTTTTTGATGGGTGGTGCTGTATTCCTGTCTTACTCATTGTTTGGCTTGAGATGTCCAGCACTGGAGTTTGCAGGCAGTTAGATAGAGCTGGGTCTTGGTGCTGAGATGAGGACCTCCGGGAGGCCTCACTCTGACTGATATTCCCTGAGGTCTGAGGTTCTCTGTTAGTCCAGCGGTTTGGACTTGGAGCTCCCACCATAGGAGCTCGAGCCCGACCTCCAGCCTGGGAACCAAGATCCCGCAAGCTTCGTGGCATGGTAAAAAAAAATACAAAAAGAAGAAAGACAGAAAAAAGAGCAGTACAATATCAAAGAGTAAAAAACAAAATAAAACCAGAAAGATAAAAAATATATTAGGAAAAATAAAACTATAATTGAAACAACTGCAATAAGGTAAAATAAAACCACAGCAGAAAAAAGAAAAAAAAAAGGGGTGGGGGCAACAAGCCAAAAAGAGAGATCACTAACAAACTATAAAGAATAAAATAAAATTAGAAAAATAAAAGATTTATTAGGAAAAATAAAAATATAAAAGAATCAACAACAATGAATCAGCAAGGTAAAACAGAATCCCAATCTAAAAGAGGAAAAAAGAAAGAAAAAAAAAGCCTTGGTTATGAGGGCAGAGTTTAGGTGGGGGTGGAACTTAGGCAGGGGCGGGGTTTAGGGTGGGGCAGGACCTAGGCGGGTACGGGTGACGTTTGAGTGTGGGGCGAGGCCTAGGTGGGGTGACATTCAAATGTGGGGTGGGACCTCTGCTTAGGACCTGCATGTAAGGGGAGAGGCAGCACGTGGAAAGGAGGGCCTCTGGAGTGTGGGGTTCCGGAGTTTGGAGGTAGGGCCGTGAGTGAGGGTGTAGGTGCAGGGCTTGGGTTCTGCGTGGCAGGAGGGAGGCTCCGAGGGCACAGGATTAGGCCCAGGATCCCAACAGGCTTCCCAGTGCCTAAGTGGACAGGGAAAGCACTGCCCCGTTCCCTTTTGTTCCTTTGCACCCCTGCCCCACCGTCTCCCCATTTCTTTATTTTTAACACAACTTTTATAAGTTATAACATTCAGATGAGCAAGATTTTGGCTAAAATTAATTCTATCACATCATTTAGCATCTTGTAGCTTGTATATCATCTCCCATTCAACTGTTTATATGTCTAGGTCATCATGAACCTTTTCAACAGGAATGTATTTTCTGTTCATATACTGCAAGATACCCATTTTTAGATTTTTCTCCTATAAAAAGTTGACATCTGAATACAAATGTAGGACATACGCTGAACATAATTCTGAGAGAAATGTTTATGAGTAGGTGCACACAGAAGAGAAGAAAACAAAACTTTCAGTAAACTCTCTGGGTATAGTTGGTGAAACTTAGGTAGTATATGAATGAATAGAGCAACAAGAAGTGGAATTATTTGTGAATCAGTTCAAATGTAAAGATGAAGTAGAATCCTTTATCTTTCAGAACATGATTTAGCTTTAATTCTGCTAGAAGGTAGTAGAGTCATTTCAATCTTTCTTTAAAAGAGAAAAAATGGGAATTTGCCCATTCTGAGTCAAAGTGTCAAGGATAAAAGTTCATTCATTCATTCAACAGACATTTGTGTGATATGCTGGGAATATAATGGCACAAAGATAAGAGATTTCTCTCAAAAATATTAGAATCTAATAATGAGACACACATGTGTAAACAGATTAGTGCAATAATGTTCACTAAGTAAATACAATACATTAAAAGAAAGCAGCAATCGTAGAGATCAACACAGCAAAGAAATGAACTTCTTTCACAGATCACACTATTTTCTAAACTGCATTGTCTTATCTCTGGGTAAGCAGAAAATGCATGAAATAATGTAATTAGAGTGATATGTTTTAATTTGTAAAAAGAGAAATTTATATATTTATTTTGAAAAAAGAGAGGATAGCATTTTAAAAGGATACTTTTATAGATATACTGAAAAGAATATGGCGTTGAGAGTTGCAAAGACCTGGTTTAGATGCTGGCTCTTCCACTTAGTAATTTTATAGATTTTATAGATTTTATAGATTTTATAGATTTTATAGATTTTATAGATTTACTAAAGATTTAGTATAGATTACTAAAGCTTCAGCTTTCCTGAAGCTCACTTTTCTTTTTTGTAAACTAGATATGGTACTTGTCCTGAAGGACAGTTGAGACACAGCACAGGTCAGTGCTTGCCATTTGAATGCATGAATGATATAAATACATGTTAATTCCATTCTCTTTTTATGGACAATTTATCATTTTTTCATTTTAACAGTGAATGAGAATTCTTGTTGCTCCACATCCTCACCCATACTTGGGATTATCCGTATTTTAAATTTTAGCTATTCTGGAGGAAATCTAGTAATATTTAACTGTGGTTTTAATTTGCATTTAATTTAATTTAATATGCATTTGCCTGACTACTAAAGAAATTACAGACATTTTCTTATATTTGTTGGCAGTTGGGGTACCCTTGTTGTGAAATGCCTGTTCTGGTCTCTTGCTTATTTTTCATTGGGTTGTTTTATATATTGATTTGTAGATGTTCTTTATATGTATGCTGGATACAAGACTCAACATATGTAATATATTCTTCTACCCTGTAACTTGACTACAGGTAATTAAAGGTGTCTTTTGATAAATGGAGGTTCTTAATTTTAACATGGTGTAATTATCAGTCTTTTCCTTTTATTGGTACTTTTCGTGTCCAGTTTAATATAGAGACAATTGATTTATTTCAAAGGTGCATCTCCTTCTGGACTCTGATTTGTGCCACTGATCTTTTTGTCTATTCTCACCCCAATACTACACTATCTTAATTATTACAGACATACAATACGTATTAATACCTAGTAGAAAAAATCCTCCTACTTTTATCCTCCTATTTGAAGAGTGTCTTGCCTGTACCCGGTCCTCTGAATTTTCATATAGATATCTTTAGAATATTTTTAAAGTTCCTTTCTCTCTCTACTCATATACACACACACATACAAATACACACACACTGGGGACATCTCTGGTGGTGCAGTGGTTAAGACTCTGCACTCCCAATGCAGGGGGCCAGGGTTCAATCCCTGGTCAGGGAACTAGATCCCACATGCATGCTGCAACTAAGAGTTCGCATGCCACAACTAAGGAGCCCGCAAGCCGCAACTAAGACCCAGTGCAACTAAACAAATACACACACACTTAAGCACACATATAAACCTACTTGGATTTTTATTGAAATTTCATTAAACCTAAAGGTCAGTTTCAGGAAAATTAACATTTTTAAATGCTGAGTCTTCCAACATGTGAATGTGGCATCGGGCTGCTTTAATTTGTTTTTTATGTCTCTCAGAAATGTTTTATGTTTTTTTCCCATAACTCTTTAATATTTATTGCTCGATTTTAAATATTTTTGATACAATTATAAATTTTTTCAGTTTTATTTCCTACTGGTACTTGTCATAGAACTGTAATTTTTAAAATCTACAGGTAGATATTAGAATTAAATGAGCTTAACAAAGACAACCTTGTTAAACTCATTTATTCTAATATCTATCTGTAGAACTTTGGGATTTTACTATATACACAATCATATCAAATAATAGCAGTTTTATTTGTTTCTTTTAGTAATTTTTCTTTCCTTTCTACACTGATTAGGACCTCTAGCATAAGGCTGACCAGAAATGGTGATAATTCTCATACTTGTTTATTCCTGATCTCAGAAGGAAAGCTTTCAATATTTCCATGGTGTCTGCTATTGGTGTTTTGTAGATAACCTCTATTAGATTAAAGAAATTTTCTTCTATTCTTAGTTTGCCAAAAGACATTTTTAATCATAAACAAATGCTGACTTTAATCAACTGCTTTTCTAGTAAGATGATCATATAATTTTTTCCTTTTATTCTTTTAATGTGGTAAATTCTACTGATTAGTTTTCTAATGTTAAACTAAAATTGTGTAATTACAACAAACTCAACTTATTCGTGACATATTATTGTTTGTACATGTTGTTTGGTTAGCTGAAATTAAGAATTCTGATATATATGTTCATGATTGAGGTTGCCCAGAAATTTCTTCTTCATAATTTCCTGTTCATGTTTTGATGTCAAGGTTATGCTGGCCTAATAAATTAAGTTGAAGAGTGTTAAATTTTTTTTTTTTCTGTTTTCTGAAAAAGCATAAAAGATGTCTATTCGTTAAACATTTGCTAGAGTTAAATAGTGAAACTATTTGGACGTATATTGGAAGGTTTTAAATTAGAGATTCAACTTTTTTCAGTTGTTATGAGATATTCATAATTTCTATTTCTTCATGTCTAAATTTCAACAGGCTGTATTTTTTTCGTCCTACTAAGCTTATACGAAATAGTTAAGACGTGAAGCATACATTTATTAGAAATGTAATTATTACCAAAATCTATGGTGCATGAGAGCTGTATTTAAGGGTACTTCTATTTCTTATTAAAAAATTGCCTTATTAAAATGAACTGCTTTCTGGCATAATTTTCAAAAACAAAGTTGTGTTACTAAAAAGATCAAGAATGTGTTTTATTTCTTTTGAGTTAAAATGAAAAGATGGTTGCAGTGGCATACCTAGTGTATTTGACACCTGAAAGGGACCATTTTTAACACCTCTCCCCCTAAAATATTTTCAGTAATAATCATGAAATAAAATGAACAAAAATTATTATGTCCAGAAAAGAAATGTAGACAGTGCCCATTTTCATTTATTAAATTTTACATAAATAATAATGCTAATAAAAAATTAATAAATGCAAAAAAATAAAGTTTTAATACATTTAAGTACATTGATGTGTTTTTTGGAAAAAGGAGAAAAATATTCATACTTACATTTTGGTCCCCATGGTGATGGTGATGAATAACTCCACTGTGCTTTCTGCTTTAAGCCTTCACTTCTGCAAATATGTCAGTGGCTTTGTCAAATTGATCTTCACATAGTCATGGTCAATAGAACTGGTGTGGCCTCACTCATGGTTGATTGAAGGACACTATTTTAATTTCAAATGTTTCTTTCACATGAAGAAATAGATACACAAGTAATTAGAAAAGCTTTAAAATAAAGATAAGTTTATCAGAGTTTCATAAAAATCCCACTTCATAGTAACTTCCAGAAACTGCAATACTGTCCAGGTCTTTGTTCTTTGGGATCAGCTCTAGCAGCTTTCAAATGTTTCTGCAGTTGAAAAATTTCCACTAAAATACCTTCACCAGAAAATTCATCATAAATTTCTGTTATATTCAGTAAAAGTCTCCAAAGTGTGTAATGGTTACGAATTATTTGAACTTGCTCAGGCCCAGTTCATATCTCTAACTGCTGTGGTACTACTATGTAATCCTGTGTTTAAACATAGATTCAAACTAAATTATAGCACAGTGATTATGAAAATGAAAAAAAAAAACTTGGCTGCTTATTCTTGAAATAAACATGTGTAGCTGGGTCCACGTCCAGAGGAGTTAGATTTATTTCCATGTAGACTACAGTGTTTGTTAAAGAACAGGTAACCAAAAAAATGGTAATTCTCAGCTTACATATATATTATTAAATTTCAGTAATGGCAGCAGTTGTTTAGAATTTAGACCAACAAAAAATTTTTTTTCAGAGAGAAGTAGTATGATTGGCATTGCTTAGAATTGTCAGTGCATAGTGATAATAAAAAGTAGGCTGGGGCTTCCCTGGTGGTGCAGTGGTCGAGAGTCCGCCTGCCGATGCAGGGGACGCGGGTTCGTGCCCCGGTCCGGGAAGAGCCCACATGCCGCAGAGCGGCTGGGCCTGTGAGCCATGGCCGCTGAGCCTGCACGCCCGGAGGCTGTTGCTCTGCAACGAAGAGGCCACAACAGTGAGAGGCCCGCGTACCGCAAAAAAAAAAAAAAAAAAGCAGGCTTTTTATTATCATTATTTTATTTTAACCCTTTAAAATTTTCTACACACAAAGCACTCCCTTATTGCCTATACTAGGGGTGGACCACTTGCACCATCCCATCTTTGGTACACCACAGGATGGATGAGAAAAATAATGAGGGAAACTGACAAGGAACATTTTTTTCCTTTTAACCAGCAGGCCCAGTATGTTTCAGAATTAAGAGATTCCATGTAATTATAAGAGTAATAAAGTGGCTTGTTGTCCTATTTCTGGAAATGCTCATAAATATACAAATTATATTTCCTTTTGCTCCTTCATTAGGCTTGTTTCAATCATTACACTGCCTCAATTTCTTATCTGCTGTCACTGACAGTGAAGTAATAGAATTAATCTGACGTAATGGGGTGGATAACCAACTAATATACTGAGATTAAAAATTTTGGTAAGGCAAACAAACCTCTGAAGTATTTGAGGTATTTCCTGGCCTTATCAGTCATTTTCAGAACCCTATTAAAAACTGAAGGGAGGCAAAATTATTCTGCTCAATATATGCACATCCTCTTGGATCTGGAGGGGAAATATCTGGGAAATGTAATTAAAAACTTGAGAATCATAATGTGAATCTCAATAGGCTGCAGCAAATGTTAAGTTGCTGGTTCACAGTTTTAAAAAGAAAAAATAACTTAAGATATGGTAAAATTCCAACATCCTAAGGATGTAGTATTGCATAAATTGTAGGAAGCAAAATGAAAACCAGCATTAAATCATTTTGCAGTCAGACTTTAACCAAAATGACTACACCTTTTATGTGTTCTATGCTTTACTGACAAATTTTATTCAAAGAACTAAACTACATGTTTCTTCATAGTCACAAAATAAATAGAAGAAATGTCTATTTGGTGCTTCCTGTTTGGTTCTGTTAATGGACGAATGTTCCCTCCTGCTGTAGCAATTGAGGATGTTTGTATTCTTGACCCCTCCCACAGGGAAGCAGGAAAGAACCTGAACTCTGATGACTAGCTGTACTTCTGGCTTTGATATACTGCTCTGGCCTCCGTGGAGGAGGAACAGACTTGAACCTGTACTAAAAGAAGTGAAAATGCCAATCAAGAGTCTGACTTTAGCAGCCATGTCTCTAAGCTTCTTGTGTAAGAACATAATTTCTTAATAACACACATAATGGTTTCAATCATCCTCAAAATTAGGCAGATAAAATATACAATAAGGCATTTTCTAAAAACTATGTAAAATGGCCAATGAGGTATGAAGCATACACCAATAATGGGCCCATTGATAACAAATAGAAATACTTACTGGGAGCATTCTGTAGTCAAGTATTATGAGAATGCTTTAAAGTTCTAAACTCTAAATACCCTGTAATCCCAATGATTTCTATCCCTTGGACACCAGTTATGGTTCTTCCAGCAAATCATTTGTCCAAGATCCTGATGATAAAATTCATCTTCCTCGAATTCTACCTTTTCTGGAACCCCAACACCATACAAGATCATTCAGGGTCAGTTATAAGCTCTCCAGGTCACATATGGAAGTTTAAAAGTTTATTCTAACCCTGCCCTTAACCTAACTCTCCTCTTTCTTACCTGTTTCACCTTGTGATGGAAGAAAGGGAGAAATCCATGAAACACCTATTTTAATTTTCTACTAGGAGATAATCTCCTGAAGTCTTTGACTCACCTCTTTTAGTACCTAAGAGCTAATAGATTACTCTTTGCGTTGTGCTGGGTAACTAGGTAACTGAGGAAAACAGCGTCTGTTCTGGAGAAGATGGCACTATACCAGCTGAAGATACCTTTCCCTAACTTTTCCCTGTTCTTTCCTCTTCTTACTATCTGCACTGTAAACCCCTTTAGAATCCACCAATCCATTTTCCCTGGAGTGATAAGGCCTACGTAGAAGGCCTGCATATTTGAAGATCATATAAATGACCTCCAACATGAGTCTCAAGGCTACAGTTTAGTAAATGTGAACCGTCATGAAAATCTAACTCCCTGACTGTCATCATTTTGAAGAGTCTACTTAGGGTTATATTTCTATTTGGTCTTTCCCTTTTTCCACTGGAGTGGATTTAGGAAAATATATTTATTTTCTCACCTGTCTAGTAATTTTCTGCTTCATTTTGCTCTTACACCCTATTTCCCCCATTTAGATTTAGATATATTTCACTTTTCTTTCCATGAAGTCTCCATCCTAATTCATGCCCCATGCTCAGCAGTAAATTTTAGGGAGAACCCAATATCTACATTTGACAAATGAAGGGAGAATGTAACAGTTTCCTTGGCCAAGCAAGAGAGACAGAGCATGACTGTAGTGAGTCAGGATTTGGGCACCTCAGCAGCAGCCAAAAGACACCTAGACGGCCACAGCACTAGATGAAAGTACACGGCAGAGAGTGGGACAGATGGTCAAACAGGGTTATGCTGCCACCATTTAAATATTATCAACAAGACCTAAAGAAGTAAGAAGATCACAATAACTTCCAAAAGATTTCATCACCTTGGCACAAACAGCTCCTAAGATATTTCAAACATCAAAGGTTTTTCTTTCACAGAAAGAGTTGAAGAGAACCCTTACCTCAGATTTTCCTTTCTTCTGTGTAGCCTCTTGCTTCTCAGGCTTCTGCTTTTGTGTCCTCTGAGCTCCTTCAGGATGAGGACTCTCTCCCAGTTACTATAGTGATGGGCCAGGAAAATACCTGAATGCATGCTGTAAGTCAGACAACAAATTATAAATGGGTTGGCATTTGACAAGGCAGAACTATAAAAACAGAGAGTAGTGGTCTTTACTGCAAGGCAGAGGAAAATTACATAACACGTATGAGAGCATCACACTGTGACAAAACAGAAGTCGTATAAACATCTTAACTTTTTTTTTTTGCGGTACGCGGGCCTCTCACTGTTGTGGCCTCTCCCGTTGCGGAGCACAGGCTGGCGACGCGCAGGCTCAGCGGCCATGGCTCACGGGCCCAGCCGCTCCGCGGCATGTGGGATCCTCCCGGACCGGGGCATGAACCTGTGCCCCCTGCATCGGCAGGCGGACTCTCAACCACTGCTCCATCAGGGAAGCCCTAAACAGCTTAAGTTTCAGGAGCCCATCTATCTCCCCCAGTTGCAACACAGTGCATTAGGTTTTATCAAAAATGATGAAAGGGGCAAGGAATTTGATGGAGCGTCGGAGACAGTACCCAGAAGAAGTCATGATTAAACTGAGATGTGAAGGTGGAGTAAGATTTAGCTACTCTATGAAAAGGTAGGGACTGACTATCAAGTGCAAAGGCCAGTGAACGGGAGAGAAGGACATTTTCAAGAAGCTAGGAGTTTACCAACATGTCTGGAGTGAAGAAGGTGAAGGGGAAAGAATCAAAAGAGGTTGAGAAGGTAAGTGAATCAGGCAGAGCCTTACAGGCCATGTTCAAGGTACTGCATATGCTCTATGGGCCACAAGAAGGCATTGTAGGATTTTAAGTAAGACCAAGATATGATCAGATTTTCATTTCACATTCCCCATTTTCCCTCTCCGTTTACTGTCACGGGCTTTTACCCTAATAATTTCTTGCACATTTAATCCTGAATTGGCATCCACTTTTTGTATAATTTATACTAACGTAAACTAACAGAATTTTTAGAAGTAAATGAGTTAAGATATCTGCACAGTACTTTTTTTCTTAAGAAGCTCAATCAATTTCACAGGCACTTTTAAACACATTGGTTACTGTAGTTAGTTTCAGGAAGTCACCTACAGCACAATCAAATACCAGTCTTCCTGGGCTGGATGTTATTTCAGGTCCTTCAGCTCTATATTCGATTGCACTGTTGTGGTAAAGATTATCTGATAAATTGAAGGGATAATGCTTCACCAAAAAGTACTTTTCAAAAATTCTGTTTATCTAGTAGAAGGTGGATCATTAATTGAAAACTGTGTAAAAAACAATTTCTTAAGTCCAGCCCCAGGGGAGGGTTGCTGTCCATTTATTGTTAGACACAGATATCTGAGATGGAAGTATAAACTTGAAAATTATGAATTACTATTTTGATAAAAACAATGATAACATTTTCTATCAGAACTTTCCTGATCACTGTTACCTTCTTACTGGGATATTAGAGTAGTAATTTCATTCCTTTGCTGGTGCAAGATTATTGAATTCCTTGAAGACAAGACATAGTATATTCTATATAATAGGGTATTTAGGCAGATGGTTAAATCACTAATGGTTACACCACTGATTTTAAATCACGTAGATCATTATAAGTTAATGATCAGCCTATAGAAAGTCTCTAGTTATGAGTCACAGGCCAATCTGATGTAACATTTAGGACCAGTTGGAAAGTCTTTGTAGAAAGATCCATGATCTCAACCATGAACCCAACCATGAGCCGGATAATGAACCTAACTCAGAAGCAGGCTTTGGTCCTACTGTCTCCCATTTGACCTTCTATTTTCCAGACTCAGTCTGAACTACTTTCAGAATAAATTTCTAAGATTTATAAAATTAAGAGATTTATTGATATAAACTTTAAGCATTGAGTCTCAACTTTAGATGTAATTCAGTGCACTTGAAATTTTCAGACAGAATGTAGTGACTCCAAACCCACTAAAGGAGAATCAGAGTGTTTAATGGGGGATAGTGGCATCAGTATTTTTTAAAGCACCAGATATAATTCTGATGTGAAACCAGCATTATGAGACATGGCTTTGGAAGCTATCAGTTACCTAATTTTATGCAGTATAACATAGTGCTTTAGAGTATGGGTTCTGGCGATAAACAGCCTGGGATCAATTCCTCAGTCCCTTTTACTAGCTTCATGAGCATCAGTAAATTACTTAATGTCTCTGTACCTCATTTATTCAAT